TAATTTTGGTTCTTTTTACTAGACATTGTTCTTAAAAAAAAAAAAGAACGTATCCAAATTCATAACTCATTTTAATCCCCATGTTTACATAGTATTTTCCATGGTTATATTTAATGTATTATACTCTTTTTATTTTATATTTAAGTGACTTTATGTATATTTTCATATGATAAACGAGTCCAAATATTATTTTGGTGGTTATATAACATTCGATTGTGTTGACATCATTTGCTTACCTATAGAGAATTACTGTTTGTACTTTCTCTGTTAGCCTTATTTAAGAGTCAGGTCCTTGGTCCGGCAGTATTCAGTGGCTGCTGCGCTTGCTTTCCAAGAATACTTGGAGGGGCACACTAGCAGAAGTGTAGTTAGTATATTCTCATAGAAGCTTCTCCCTCAATTCCCTGTTTGGTCATTTACCCTGGTGAACTGAACCCACACAGTCAAGTAGCCTTCTATCTTTTCTATCTCCTGGACCACACTGTAGGCCTCTACGTCTTGGCTTTCATAAGTGGGCAAGAGTGAGCCACAGAGAGGAAGAGAGCCTTGATTACTTCCCAGAGAAATCTTCAGCTCTAGTCCCATGGAAGGGTGTGGTGCCATTGTGACATTTTGCCTTTGTAGTAGACGAACATCCACCCAAAGTTATGGGGTATGATGTAGGGCTTGGCCTGAAGCTGTGATGAACAACTGTGTAAAAATTGTTTCACTTCTTTTGGGTTATTTCCACTGGGGAAGCAGAATTGCTAGGCCAAAATAAATGAATAATCTTACAGTCTATATGTTGGTAGTTTGCTTTCTATAAAAATTGGACAGTTTTATAATAGCAACATGTTAAGTGTAGCTAATGCGCCATAATCCATTGAAACCATTGACACATTATTTTTGCTAGCATAATGTAATATTAAATTTGTCTAAAAATTTTAACAGCTTTGTTGGACTATTATCACATATCATACAATTTATACATTTAAACTATACAATGCAGGGGTGCCTGGCTGGCTCAGTTGGAAGAGCATGTGACTCTTTTTTTTTTTTTTTTTT